TAGTTTGAATAGGCTAATTACCCTGTACTATTAGTCTATGGGTGCGTGTTTACTCTTCTTTTTCTGTTTCCTATTCCGTCACTGTTTCTGTTTTGTCTTGTTTGCGTTGAAGCCTTCAACTAATAATGTTAAATGTATGTTTTCTTCAAGTGAAGCTCCTATGGCTATAGATTTTGGTATAATTGTTCAACCTCATCGCTCAAACGTTCTCTGTTAAAGAATATGCTTGAAAAATCTCTAGGGAAGGGAATATCTTTGGTTGATATCAATAATTATCTACATATCACCCGCCGACTAATGCTTTCCAAATTTATTATTCTTGCTGTATGTTTTTATGTACTAAAAAAACCAAGTGCTCTAATTGCTGCTTCTTTCCCTGTATCAGAGAATATCTCTAGATTTTAGCTGGTTCTCGTGTCTTTCATCGAGCTTGCCTGCTGGGGAAACATATTTGTTATTTTAATGCAATAAAGAAATTATATTAAACTTCTGAGGTGGCTTTTTTTTTCGTTTTGATCAGTGTAGTTAGAGGAGGCACAAGGTTCGCATGTGATCTAATGAAAACGAAAATGCTTCAAGAAATTTAATAGAGTATTGCTTCGTAATCTTCATAGGAAGTTACTTAGATCCAGTTGTAATAGCCAAGGGTAGCTCTGAGACGAGACTCTCAGCTGCACTGAGAGAGGAAATGACGATTAATCCTCACAAAATCGACATCGTACCCTTTACTAGGAGAAGAAAACTTGACAACTTGGTACCCCTGACTAGACGGGAAGAAATAGTGCCATTTTCAAATGAAGCAAAGAATCTGAGAGTCATCTTGGACAAGACTCTAAACTATAACGCTCATCTGGAAAAAGTGAGTGCAAAATTGTCTCTTTGGAACTGCTATAGGATCTGTGGAAGAACCTGGGGCACAAATCCAAAACAAATTCACTGGACCTACACCATGGTTATCAGACCAATGATAATCTATGGCTCCGTGATATGGTGGGGCAAGGCGAATCAGAAACGGGTTCAAGCCACACTCAGTAGTCTGCAGAGAATGGCTTGCCTGGTGATAACGGGAACGTTGCGCACTACGGCTACAGCAGCTATGGAAGTCCTCATAAACCTAAATCCCCTTCACATATACATGCAGAAAGAAGCAATGAGAAACCATGCTTGAAAAAGCACTTTGGAGGAAGGAAGCGCAATGCAACCTAGGGTGCTTGTTGACGAAATAAATCGACACGGCAAACTTAGCATGCCTTCTGGCATAATGCCAAAGAAAACCAACTTTGGTTTGCCCTTTGAAACAATGATTTCCTACAGAGAGCAATGGGCCAGCGACAGGTTCGAGCTTAACTTTATTAGACCGGAGCCAGTACTGGGAATGGCCCTAAATATACGGCCAACCACACAATCTCGACCTGGGCCAATTCAGAGGACAAACAATATTGGTCGAGGTTATACTTCTAGGAATGGAGTGGAAGAGTCTCAAAGCCCTGGTGAGTCTGTACACTCACACTGCAAAATCCGGTATCACATGCACCAGATCGGAATAGCAGAAAGTGCGGAGTGTCGCCTGTGCATGGGAGAAGACGAAACTGCAGAACATATCCTATGTATGTTCGTGTCCGTCAATAGCTAGAATCAGGCACGCTATTTTCGGGGAGTCATTTATCCGACCTAATATATAAAGCTTGCTTCCCCTATATCTCTGTATTTCCACTTTTATTAGAAGGGCTGGACTGATGGGGGAAATATAAACTCGGAGTGAGCCCTAATAGATCGCAGGTCGTAGTGGAAGGGAAGAAATCGGACCACTCACAAGAAACCTAATCTAACTTGGATTCCCGAAGTTAACGCCAGTATGAGAAGACACATTCACAATTTTAAAAAGACTCAACGACGTGGTGTATCGAATCCAACTCGGGCCCAAAGGTAAGATGAAGGTGGTGGAGATATATCACAAGAAAAAATGGTCAGAGCGATCTTATTTCAGAAGCAGGCAGTGCTACGAAATTACATTTGCCCTGAGAAGCCGCAAGATTGGTTCACGGAAAGAACGAGGCAAGTATTCTGGAATTTTTTGTTGTCTTCAAATAAACGAACGTTTTGCGTGATTCTAAAGACTTCTCGATTGAATAATTTTTGTATATAAAGTAAGTAATTTGTAAGTTAATCAGTTAGTGCAAATAAGAGGTCAAATTAATTCAATAAAACTATTTTCATTGTAAGTAAATTGAGGATTTATTGGTTCCGCGAAATACGTAATAATGTAATTAAAGCTAAATTCATTTTACAATTTACTCTCAAACAAATGCTGACGTTTTTGTTCCGAAAAATTCGCGGAAGCTGGCTGTTCTAATAACCACTATATTTGGCCAACTTAACTAACCGTGAATTTTCCGCCTCCATGGTAATGCATATTATCTTTACAGTATCGTAACATTACGGTCCATTCGCAAGATTTTCCGACGAGTAATCAAATAAAGCTATTTCGGTTTCGGGCGGATTCGCACAATCCCAATTTACCTAGCTTTAAACGTGGCGTTTCCGAGTTCCAATTCCGCATATTTCAATTTAAATAATGATAAGAGTTCCCAGTCTTGAAGTCGTACAAATTTTAGTAAATACAAGTTTGTCATTTCAGTTCATATACCTACCTATTTTATGTGAGGATTTTCTTCTTATGAAATGATAAATAGTATGGACTGGAATCAAAGTATTTAAGTCATATAGGAAAAACCAATGTATCTTTCATCATTTTCTTACTATTAAGCAATAAGAGTTTGTGGGAAATTCAATATTGCTGCTTATAACCACATAAGAAACTAAGAAATTTCAAGTATTAGAGCTTTGTTTCCAATTTTTTAACGATCCTCTTCTGCGGGTCGTTTTTTCTTGCATTCATAGCTGGAAAAAAAGACTGGGAACGCCAAAAAAAAAAACAACAACAAATAACACACTAGCTCGGTTCGGTATTAGTTCAATTTCACATAAACATCAGTCTTGCGCGGAGCACTCTGTCAAGAAAAGCAAGACAAAAATTCACGCTCTCTCTACTTTGATACCCCAATAGTGATTTTACAGCCAAGACTTTCCACTGAGATTCCATTTTGATATTGATCACGCGCCACGCGCCGATTGTTCGAACAGATCTTCGGTTGGGATTTTCGCGTACCGTACCGCCCGGTACTTTTTTTCTCTACCTCCCAACTCACACTATCGTTCCACTTTTCACCCCATTCCTTCTCAACCCAAGGTTTCCTGTCAAATATCAAATGTCACTTACGGTTCCTACGCCAGTTTGTCGTTTGATTTGAATCCATGCATGGGCGCGAAATGCACTAAAGTGCCGAACCACTACAATTTCAACAGGAAATGCAACATTATTCTTCATTTAACGATGTTTTTAATAAAATAGCCAAGCTTATTCACTATAGGCACTAAGTACCTATAATTTATCAAGCTACCAACACTTCGAATACCGTTTTTGTTATTGAAACGTAAAAAGCTCCCCTAAGCTTCGCAGTGAGCAATGTTTTCTCTGTGTGGCCTCTAGAATTATCTGCTCTGCACTCGAGCAATACAGTTTTTACCGAGTTCCCCGCTAATATAATCAAATAACGTTGTCTCGCCCATGATATATTTCAGGCAATATCTGCTTCGAGGCTCCACTGTCGCCAGTTTCGACAGGGATAAAGGCTTGGCCTCTCCAATTTACATTTTAATGCGATTATATGTCGGCGCTACCGGGAGAAATTTCATTCGGGACTTTGTTTTTTCCTATATTATTGAATAAGGGATAAGCTTTATGATTTTTGGAATTATCGTACTCAGGGAAAAAGTTTACTCTATAATGGTCCGTTTTTTTTCTGACCTGGCATTTTTGGCTTTGCAATAAATGTCATATTATTCTTGCGGAATTATAAAGAGATTTTAAAAAAAAAAAGCATTTTAAACCGTATTTATTTGATAAGACTTTTTCATTTCTAGTTGTAAAGCTACCATATAATAAGCCTTTGCAAGGAGGTAAAACCAGAATATAATCTAGTGTTACAAATAAATTCAACAAAAATTTTATATTGTGGTCTGAAACTCATTAAGCCCAGAATAACAAAAAAGACACTTTTTTGCGCAATTTTGGACTTAAGCGTTAAAGTAACTTCGACTAAAAAAGTTTCAAAACTCGTGTGGGGAGCTTTCCTTTCCAAATAAAAACATTATAAAGAGGATTAAACGGCGGTAAGTGACCCAAATGAAACAGGATTGAGGGAAAACCATACGAAAAGTTGCTAAACTGTTGGAAAAGTTTAAAACTAGCTAACTTTCTTGATATAGGATCAGAGCCTGTAAAAAAAGATGAAATATATCGGTGGTTATGGGCGATACATGATCTATATTTTCACTTAGGATGATTAGAAAATATACGAACAGTTTGGAAAGAAAAGTCAGATGAATTGGGGTAAGTGGTTTTTTGAAAGGCGCCGTTGGTCTCTTGTTTATTATTTAAGAATTTTCTAGTTGGACCAAAAATAAATTTTCTGAATTGCTATTTCCGAAAATAAAAAACAAATTGTTCGAATTCCAGGTTTTTTCCTATTTGGTATTGATTGTCAGTCAAAAATGACGTGTTAATTAGTTCTTCCACAGGACTAAGTATCTTCTAATTATTGATTAAGTTATTAGAATGAGGAGGCCCCCAAAAAATATTTGCGTTTTTGACAAAAAATATTTCTGTTTCTTTAATAAAGTCGAATACTTACTGTACTGACGCACCGTTCTACCTTTTTCGCTAGGTATTCAAGGAGGTGCGCGATGCGCTTGTATGCCTTCAGCGATATATGAAACGCAAAATGCATGCCTCTATTATACAGGGTCAAATTTGACCCACAAAAAAGTTTACGCGAAATCATTGCATCAACACATATAGTGATGTAGGAAGTTTCTTCAAATAATAAATAAGTGAAAAGAAATAAAACGAAGGCCTATATTTCTATATTTATTTTACAAACTGATCTATCTTACAAACTAGTATCACAGTTTAATCAGTATAATATGCTTGAGTCTCCAACCTATAACAATAAGAAAAATATTTGAGTAATAGGTAGTTTTTACCGTACTTCTAAATATATATTACATTTTAATAATAAATTCTGAGAATTTCAGTTTACATGCGAAACATTCAAATCCACAAAATAGGGATAAAACCTTTGCATTCTTCAAATTTAGGTTGACGCAATAATTTTTTTTTCTGCAATTTTGATTACCGATTGGCTATCTAATCTATATTTCAAGACTGCGAGGTATTTTTTAGTCAAAAACTCACTTAAATAAAAAAACGAGAACTAATTAACTTACATGTTCCCAATGTTATCAAACCCAAATGACAAGTAGAATGAGCTCCAGAAAAAGTACGTAATATCGATGATAGAATAAATTGAAATCTGCAACAAAAAAAAAACATTAGTAGGTAACCTTATGAATGACTGAATTATACTTACCAGTCGAGCTAGTACCCATTAAAAGCACAGAAGCCGGATGAGGTGTGTCTGGCTTTACTTCAATGTCCAAACTTTTGGCCCGATAAAGCCGAAAAAGTGTAGCTTCGCACATAATACGTAAAGGGTCCCAACTACCTCCAACTCCTGTTAATTCCAACCTAGCGGTTTTCTGCTCTAATTGATCCTCGTTCGACGTGATCCAGTCTGACGTATAGCCGGGAACCTGGAAGAAAAGATAAACTACGTAGGTATATCTTTTCAATAAAAGAATAAATAGTGGGGATACGGCCAAGGTTTATTATCAAAAAACTCTTTTGTTTTTTGTTGCTGCTGCAACAAAAGATGAGTTTGAAAATGTCCGTTGTTTAATAAGTTGTTTTTTTCTTATTGCGTAATATTAATCTAAACTGCTGGACTCTTGAACTCACACATACAGATTTTAGGCAAAATTCCATTTTATCGCCCCGTAGTATAGGGGTCACCCTATGATCCTTTGAGAAATGTACAACAAGTTTTGTCCGGAAAAAACAGGCTATTAAAATCCACAAACCGCGTTAAAAAAACTTCATTCGTGTCGAAAATATGAAACTTTAAATTTTGTCTAAAAATCTGTACGGGTGTCCCACTGAGATCGACGAGGTACGATATTGTGGAAACCATAGACCTTACATAACTTGAAAATGAATGCAGATATTGAATTGCGGTTTGCGCCAAAATGATATTTTTTTGATCTTTAGTCACATATATCAATATATCATGACATCTGGATTTTTCAAGAAAATTAGAAAAAACTGGATCTTGGTTAAACAGCGCCCTTTAGAAGACGCGGTGGGAACTTAATAATTTCCATCAATTTCTCTTATAATAAGAAACAATCTTTTAAAACTGGCCGATTAAGTGAAGAAAAAAAAATCCCGAAGCCGTAAGGTCTATGGTTTCCATAATATCGTACAGAATTATTGGTTATAAATGTCACCCGCCTCCATCTTTTTTATTTGACATTTTAGTACCTTGCCACCCTTAGTGGGACACCCTGTATATGTGAAAGTTCGAGTGTCCAGCAATATACATCCATTTTTAACAGACCCGAGTTTTTTTTGTTCAAATGTTATCACAAACTTCCAGAAAAATATTAAAACTCATAATTTGAATTTTAATGTAAGGGAGTGCATGACGTTATCGACCACAAGATGACGCAGTACCACACAATACCACAAGATAGCGAACTGTATTTTTTAAAGTTCACTGTTGCATTTGGCATCTGTCCGGACACTGTGATCAATGAACTATACAGGGTGTCCCAGGGAAAACAGTTCACCCCGATTTATTGGATTTGGGATAAGAATCTGAAAAAACGCTCGGACACGTCGATGTTTGATCTGAGGGGGAACTATTTTTCAGTTTGTTTCTTTCCCGTAGCTTCAACCCCCTAGCTAGGGGGAGAACAATCCCCCAAATTTGAATAGGGGATAGGGGTCGTGTCAGACTTCTTTTTAAAGGTCTCATTGAGTTCTTTATGTCTCTAGAATTTTGTCTCATTATTTTCATCCGTAACAAAATGACAGCTTGTCAAAATCTTGGAAGTAGACTATTGTTTTAGTAGGAGTAATAGCGGTACTTACCTCCCTTAACCCGGGATCGGTCGCGGTGTTAGAAAAAATCTAACATTTTTAGTTTTATGCACATAAAACTTTAAATAGTGACGTTAGGTCATTCCCCATCCCGAAGTGCCTGGAAGAGGGCCTATGTAAGCTCATGGCAAATCGGCATTTAGCTGGCTCAAAAGGGTTAGCCATATCGGGAAGATGACTTAGGTGTTAGTTAAAATCTAACACGCGAACTCAGTGTACACTTAGCTGTTAGAAAAAATCTAACTACGCGACCAACTACGATTGAAATACCAAGACTTAAGTGCATTTATCAAATTTAAGTTTAAGTTTTGATTCCGAAAATTTTTTTTAGTGTTAGATAAAATCTAACACGCGACCGATCGCGTTATAGGAAGGGTAGCGACCGATCCCGGGTTAATAAAAATATGAGTAAAAATACCTACAATTTACAATTCTCGTGTAGACCTCATTAATAATATTAATAAAAAACTTTAATTTCAAGTAAGGGAGGTAAGTATCGCTTTTACTACCACTAAAATAATAATCTACTTCCAAGATTTTGGCAAGCTGTCATTTCGTTACGGATGAAAATAATGAAGTGAAATTTTAGGGCCATAAAGACCTCCATAAGACCTTTAAAAAGAGATATGACACGATTCCTATCCCTTATCCAAATTTGGGGGGTTGTTCTCCCCCTAGCTAGGGGATTGAAGCTACGGGGATGAAAAAAACTGAAAAATAGTTCCCCTCAAATCAAAAATCGACGTGTCCGAGCGTTTCTCCAGATTCTCATCCCAAATCCGATAAATCGGGGTGGACTGTCTTCCCTGGGACACCCTGTATACTACACGTAACTGGAACAAACCTAACAGCTGCTTTCAATGTTCATTTTTCAGGCAAGTAGAGTGTTTTCACAGCAGACCAATAGCCACCTCTCACGTAATAACCTCCCTCCAGCACAGCCATCATACCACTACCCACCTCCACTGTAAACCCCCTTCCATAAAGCTCCTACCCTGAGGAGGCACTGTTTTTATGTCCTCCCACTTTTTTGAAAACTAGAAAACATTTAACCAATTCTTACATTTGTATTCATCAATTTTGGGGGTGGCCCGGGTCAAATTCTAAAAATTTCAGATTAAAGGCGCCGCCGATCTAGAGATTTTCCCACGGTATCAGAAAACTTCCCAGGCTCAAGTGCCCCCGGCTATCAGACCAATAACCACTTCACAGCTAACAGAGCAAAACCCACCTCTACTGCGTCAAAAAGTCTCTACTCACTTTTTTGAAAACTAAAGAATACTTCAACAATTCCTGAATTTGTATTCTTCAATAGTGTTCTAAACTCCATGGGATGTAGAAGCTCTTGAAAGGATTCAAAATTAAAAGCAGACCGTTATTATTAAAGGACCGGATCAAAGTTATATTGCAAAAATACTAGTTGAGTAAAGTTATTGACAACCACCAACACTGAAAAAACTCAAAAATGAATTGTTGTTCCTCTATAGACAATATTCTAGCTCATATGAGTGGTGAAAAATTACTCTCAGATTTTGCAAGCGAAGAACTATTGAGAATTCCGTTGGGTTATTTATTGAAACATGCAAAGTCCTTTGAACTTTTGGATGCATGGGGGAAGTTACCAATAAGCTACAAAAATAACCTTCTTCTTCAAATTAGTTTACCTACCATGCTTTATTCATTACAACACACCAGAATGTAGAAATCACTTTGATGGTCCACCAGATTCGCAAGCAAAATTTTATTATTGTGATAAAATGATTTTATCCAATTATATCTGAATATTTTAAATAAAGCCAAGTCGTTTGAGAAATTATTTCATTTTCTTTGCAAACTTTAATTAAAACCAGATAACCTTCAAAACATTATGAGAATCTAAAGTACACTGACCACAGAATAACTAAATAATATAACTAAAATACCTATCCCATAACCAATCGACAAAGTTAGGTATATGTATGAGCGTAAAAAAATTTACAGACAGAAAACCACTTATCTATATTGAGCGACTTTTCAAAGTAGTTGAAACATGTTAAAAATGCGAATAAAAATAGTTGGAATTTTTAAAACCAGATCTAGTTTTCATAAAAATCATAATGGGAATCTATAATGCAACGATCAGAGACTGATACATTAACCTCAGCATAATCCCTAAGAAGCGATTGCATTTTACAGACCGAAAATTAATCAATTATAAGATAAAATTGAAGACATAATATACGGAGTAGTTAATATGTATGAAAAATTTAAATGGAAGTAAATATCATAGAATAATTTATATCCTAAAACCAGATCTAAATTACATCTACTTTACAGGAGTTACAGTTACAGGGTGGATAACTTTCAATGCATGGGCTACGTAAATCAGGGTAATGCAAAGGTAGCAATTTAAAATATTACTAAATTTATATGGATTCATTATTTGAGGTTTTAAACATGTAAAACTTTCCAATAACTTACAAATCAATTTTATCAGATTTAACTTTTATTTTTATAGGTGTGAGACATCCTCACTCAATGCATAGAAATATACCTGTTTTTTTTTTAATAGAATGGGTTTTGAGATTCGCAAAGCAAATTATAAAATTAACTTACACCATATTTACGTTTCCAAAATCATCTAGGGGAATTTCATCATTTAGTTTACACCAATGACATCAAAACACAGATAGACCGAACAATAAACAAAATTTTCGTATGACAACATCTCTCTGTCTCTTTTGGGTCTTTGTGCTATCCCCACCACTGAGAATGCCAAATTTTGTCTTGAATCCCTAAATAATATATTTTTCTCCTCTAATTAACATTTTCAATTTTATTTCTGAACTCAATTTGGCAACAGCAGATTATAGCAAAACACCGCCCAGAAGCGGCTTGTTGAATGGCAGGCAGGTGTTGATTGTAGTAGCTAGCTATCTTTATCGCAAACAGGGATTATTTATTAGCGTTAAATAAGAAACGACCGATACGATATTGGTACTCCCAGAATAAAGGGCTCGTTTCGAATATTTTCAGTTTATTTGTTCATCCAATTAAATTTCGAGATATATTCACGTGTAGGCGGGGTTTTTTACACCATTTTGAGCAATGATGTCTCCCTACCCCGACCCCGCGAGCAACTCACCTCCCCTGGCCCATGGGTGGTCTTGTCAACACAACAAATAACAGTTTATGAATGGGATGATCCGTCTATCTGTGTTTTGATGTCATTGGTTTACACATATCCTGTTCAAATTCAATGGAAAATTAAATTCTCATTTTTAATTTTTAGAAGTTTTATCGTCTGTTATATAATTTATAGTGTGTTCATTTTAGTGGTATATACAGGGTCCCAACTATTTCATAGGAACAGTATTGCTATCTCGGGAACGGTTAAAGTTACGAGGGCGTCTAAATTAGAAAAAAGTTGTCATTTTTGAAGAATATTAGAAAAATATTTTCGTTGTTGCCTATATCTATTAGATTTGCAAAAACAGGGTGATTTTCGAAAATTTGCAAAAACAATTTTATCAAATATTGTAAAATCTATTGATTTTAGAGACATAGTTCAAATTCAAAAGTATTATATTTTTGACAATCTTCAAAAATGGCA